TGGACAGAAATGTTTCTTAAAGCAAGAGGAAGAAGCGTGAAGATGGAGCAGAGCAGCAGGACATACTCAGCTGCTCCTCACTGGGTCACCTTTCTACGAGACTGGACAACTTTCTACAAGACTGGACACCTTTCTACTAGGCTGGACACCTTTCACTGGACACCTTTCTACGAGGCTGGACACCTTTCTATGAGACTGGACACCTTTCTACAAGACTGGACACCTTTTGACAAGACTGGACACCTTTCACTTGACACCTTTCTACGAGACTGGACACCTTTCTACGAGGCTAGACACCTTTCTACAAGACTGGACACCTTTCTACAAGACTGGCTGGACACCTTCTTACAAGACTGGACACCTTTCTACAAGACTGGCTGGACACCTTCTTACAAGACTGGACACCTTTCTACAAGACTGGACACCTTTCTACAAGACTGACTGGACACCTTTCTACGAGACTGGACACCTTTCTACAAGACTGGACACCTTTCTACAAGACTGGCTGGACACCTTCTTACAAGACTGGACACCTTTCTACAAGACTGGCTGGACACCTTCTTACAAGACTGGACACCTTTCTACAAGACTGGACACCTTTCTACAAGACTGGACACCTTTCTACAAGACTGACTGGACACCTTTCTACGAGACTGGACACCTTTCTACAAGACTGGACACCTTTCTACAAGACTGGCTGGACACCTTCTTACAAGACTGGACACCTTTCTACAAGACTGGCTGGACACCTTTTTACAAGACTGGACACCTTTCTACAAGACTGGCTGGACACCTTCTTACAAGACTGGACACCTTTCTACGAGACTGGACACCTTTCTATAAGACTGGCTGGACACCTTTATACAAGACTGGACACCTTTCTATGAGACTGGACACCTTACTACGAGGCTAGGCACCTTTCTACAAGACTGGCTGGAAACCTTTATACAAGACTGGACACCTTTCTACGAGACTGGACACCTTTCTATGAGACTGGACACCTTTCTACAAGACTGGACACCTTTCTACAAGACTGGACACCTTTTGACAAGACTGGACACCTTTCACTTGACACCTTTCTACGAGACTGGACACCTTTCTACGAGGCTGGACACCTTTCTATGAGACTGGACACCTTTCTACAAGACTGGACACCTTTTGACAAGACTGGACACCTTTCACTTGACACCTTTCTACGAGACTGGACACCTTTCTACGAGGCTAGACACCTTTCTACAAGACTGGACACCTTTCTACAAGACTGGCTGGACACCTTCTTACAAGACTGGACACCTTTCTACAAGACTGGGTGGACACCTTCTTACAAGACTGGACACCTTTCTACAAGACTGGACACCTTTCTACAAGACTGGCTGGACACCTTCTTACAAGACTGGACACCTTTCTACAAGACTGGCTGGACACCTTTTTACAAGACTGGACACCTTTCTACAAGACTGGCTGGACACCTTCTTACAAGACTGGACACCTTTCTACGAGGCTAGACACCTTTCTACAAGACTGGCTGGAAACCTTTATACAAGACTGGACACCTTTCTACGAGACTGGACACCTTTCTACGAGGCTAGACACCTTTCTACAAGACTGGCTAGACACCTTCTTACAAGACTGGACACCTTTATACAAGACTGGACACCTTTCTACGAGACTGGACACCTTTCTACGAGGCTAGACACCTTTCTACAAGATTGGCTGGACACCTTCTTACAAGACTGGCCACCTTTCTACGAGACTGGAAACCTTTCTACGAGGCTAGACACATTTCTATGAGACTGGACACCTTTCTATGAGGCTGGACACCTTCCACTTGACACCTTTCTACGAGGCTGGACACCTTTCTACGAGGCTGGACACCTTTCTACTAGGCTGGACACCTTTCACTGGACACCTTTCTACGAGGCTGGACACCTTTCTATGAGACTGGACACCTTTTCTGCAAGACTGGACACCTTTTGACAAGACTGGACACTTTTAACTTGACACCTTTCTACGAGACTGGACACCTTTCTACGAGGCTAGACACCTTTCTACAAGACTGGACACCTTTCTACAAGACTGGCTGGACACCTTTCTATGAGACTGGACACCTTTCTACAAGACTGGACACCTTTCTACAAGACTGGCTGGACACCTTCTTACAAGACTGGACACCTTTCTACAAGACTGGCTGGACACCTTTTTACAAGACTGCACACCTTTCTACAAGACTGGCTGGACACCTTTTTACAAGACTGGACACCTTTCTACAAGACTGGCTGGACACCTTCTTACAAGACTGGCTGGACACCTTTATACAAGACTGGACACCTTTCTACAAGACTGGCTGGACACCTTTATACAAGACTGGACACCTTTCTAGGAGACTGGACACCTTCCTACGAGGCTAGACACCTTTCTACAAGACTGGCTGGACACCTTTCTACGAGACTGGACACCTTTCTATAAGACTGGCTGGACACCTTTCTACAAGACTGACTGGACACCTTTCTATGAGACTGGACACCTTTCTACAAGACTGGACACCTTTCTACAAGACTGGCTGGACACCTTCTTACAAGACTGGACACCTTTCTACAAGACTGGCTGGACACCTTTTTACAAGACTGGACACCTTTCTACAAGACTGGCTGGACACCTTCTTACAAGACTGGCTGGACACCTTTATACAAGACTGGACACCTTTCTAGGAGACTGGACACCTTTCTAGGAGACTGGACACCTTTCTAGGAGACTGGACACCTTCCTACGAGGCTACACACCTTTCTACAAGACTGGCTGGACACCTTTTTACAAGACTGGACACCTTTCTACAAGACTGGCTGGACACCTTCTTACAAGACTGGACACCTTTCTACGAGACTGGACACCTTTCTACAAGACTGGCTGGACACCTTTATACAAGACTGGACACCTTTCTATGAGACTGGACACCTTTCTACAAGACTGGCTGGACACCTTCTTACAAGACTGGACACCTTTCTACGAGACTGGACACCTTTCTACAAGACTGGCTGGAAACCTTTATACAAGACTGGACACCTTTCTACGAGACTGGACACCTTTCTACGAGGCTGGACACCTTTCTATGAGACTGGACACCTTTCTACAAGACTGGACACCTTTTGACTAGACTGGACACCTTTCACTTGACACCTTTCTACGAGACTGGACACCTTTCTACGAGGCTGGACACCTTTCTATGAGACTGGACACCTTTCTACAAGACTGGACACCTTTTGACAAGACTGGACACCTTTCACTTGACACCTTTCTACGAGACCTGGACACCTTTCTACGAGGCTAGACACCTTTCTACAAGACTGGACACCTTTCTACAAGACTGGCTGGACACCTTCTTACAAGACTGGACACCTTTCTACAAGACTGGCTGGACACCTTCTTACAAGACTGGACACCTTTCTACAAGACTGGACACCTTTCTACAATACTGGACACCTTTCTACAAGACTGGCTGGACACCTTCTTACAAGACTGGACACCTTTCTACAAGACTGGCTGGACACCTTTTTACAAGACTGGACACCTTTCTACAAGACTGGCTGGACACCTTCTTACAAGACTGGACACCTTTCTACGAGACTGGACACCTTTCTACAAGACTGACTGGACATCTTTCTACGAGGCTAGACACCTTTCTACAAGACTGGCTGGAAACCTTTATACAAGACTGGACACCTTTCTACGAGACTGGACACCTTTCTACGAGGCTAGACACCTTTCTACAAGACTGGCTGGACACCTTCTTACAAGACTGGACACCTTTATACAAGACTGGACACCTTTCTACGAGAATGGACACCTTTCTACGAGGCTAGACACCTTTCTACAAGATTGGCTGGACACCTTCTTACAAGACTGGCCACCTTTCTACGAGACTGGAAACCTTTCTACGAGGCTAGACACCTTTCTACAAGACTGGCTAGACACCTTCTTACAAGACTGGACACCTTTCTACAAGACTGGACACCTTTCTGTGACGCTAGACACATTTCTATGAGACTGGACACCTTTCTATGAGGCTGGACACCTTCCACTTGACACCTTTCTACGAGGCTGGACACCTTTCTACGAGGCTGGACACCTTTCTACTAGGCTGGACACCTTTCACTGGACACCTTTCTACGAGGCTGGACACCTTTCTATGAGACTGGACACCTTTTCTGCAAGACTGGACACCTTTTGACAAGACTGGACACCTTTAACTTGACACCTTTCTACGAGACTGGACACCTTTCTACGAGGCTAGACACCTTTCTACAAGACTGGACACCTTTCTACAAGACTGGCTGGACACCTTTCTATGAGACTGGACACCTTTCTACAAGACTGGACACCTTTCTACAAGACTGGCTGGACACCTTCTTACAAGACTGGACACCTTTCTACAAGACTGGCTGGACACCTTTTTACAAGACTGCACACCTTTCTACAAGACTGGCTGGACACCTTTTTACAAGACTGGACACCTTTCTACAAGACTGGCTGGACACCTTCTTACAAGACTGGCTGGACACCTTTATACAAGACTGGACACCTTTCTACAAGACTGGCTGGACACCTTTCTATGAGACTGGACACCTTTCTACAAGACTGGACACCTTTCTACAAGACTGGCTGGACACCTTCTTACAAGACTGGACACCTTTCTACAAGACTGGCTGGACACCTTCTTACAAGACTGGCTGGACACCTTTATACAAGACTGGACACCTTTCTAGGATACTGGACACCTTTCTAGGAGACTGGACACCTTTCTAGGAGACTGGACACCTTCCTACGAGGCTAGACACCTTTCTACAAGACTGGCTGGAAACCTTTCACTGGACACCTTTTTTCTAACTAATCAGGTTTTTATGGAGCTGTCTTGTTTTTTTCCTGCAGCTAAGGTTATGTTACTGATGATGATGATGATGATGATGATGATGATGATGATGATGATGATGATAGTTTCCACTCACCCCAGCGTGCTGATGAAGCCGTTCACTGAACCCTCCGCATACAGAGACAAGATGTCTCCGATGTGGAGGAAACTGGAAGCAGAGTCCGACATCCTGCTGCAGCAGCTGGACAGACAGCAGCTGGACAGACAGCAGCTGGACAGCAGGGGTCCACCTGTCGGTCCCTCAGCAGCTGGAGCCCAGCGGGGCTTCTGTCTGGACGCTGCAGCCGCTCCTCTGAGCCGCTGCCCGGTTCTGCATGGAAACAAAGTCCGCCTGAAGTTCTCCGAAACTTTCCAACAGCCTGTCTCTGCAGGAGGGACAGTCTGTCTGCAGCTTGGACTGTTTCCACGGAGCTGTGGACACGCAGCTCCCCCTCCCTCCACCCCTCCCACAGTGACTGGAGGGCCAACCAGGAAGTGAGCCGCTGCGGAGATAAGCCTCCAGGCTTCAGCAGAGCTGCACCTTCAATAAATACAAGTCATGAGGGGGGGGTTACTTTAAAGTTACTTTATTAACTTTAATAAAGTTAATAAAGTAAAGTCAGAACTTCTCCATTGTGGGACAATAAAGTGTTTTTTCCCCCCTATTCTATTCTACATTAGAGACTGCAGGCTGATAAAGGTTTATTCCTGCTATGTCTGCTGGTGACCGACAGATGGCAGCACTGCAGGTATGGAGTTAAAGTTAAAAACTATGAGAAATAGACTAAATATTCTGTGAGGATTAATGCATCAAGCTTTCATTCACCTTTATGTCATCTCTAAACACTGAGTCCTTAAGAAATAAAATATACACAAAAAATAACTTAAAGTAATATAAAAATAAATCTTATTTGAGCAACATTGGTTTGCTTGGGTTATTTTTACTCTTAGCAGTGGCATGCACAGATTTTTGAAGGGCAGGGGCAGAAAAGAAAAAAGGCACCCATGTAGGGGGAGCTTTAAAGCTATAGTGGAGGACACCAGGTGGATCATCTCAATCAGTGGTCCTCCTAACTGTCAATCATTCTGGTGATGTGTTAACGTAAGGCCGTCCTACGTAGCGCTGGCGAGTCTGACAGAGGAAAAATAGTCCAGCCTTGAAGTAACAAATGCATGGACTAGTTTCTCAGCATCACCCCTGGACAGGAGATTGCTCATTTCTGCAATATTCCTCAGATGAAAGAAGGAAATTCTAGAAACCTCTTTGATCTGGGATTTAAATGACAGGTCCTGATCAAAAACAACACCAAGATTTTTTACTTTATTATCTGAAATCAGTTTAATCCCATCCAGATGAAGTGACTGGCTAATCAGCTTCTTTTTCAGAGACTCTGGTCCAAAGACTATAACTTCTGTTTTATCTGCATTCAGAAGCAGAAAGTTAAGAGTCATCCAGGTTTTTCTGTCTTCAGACATGCCTGTAATCTATGTAATGGGTTAGCTTCATCTGGATTTATAGACAGATATAGCTGGGTATCATCAGCATAACAGTGGAAATTAATCCCATGCTGTCTAATAACTCTACCAATTGGGAGCATGTATAAAGTAAAGAGAATTGGTCCTAGCACTGATCCCTGTGGTACTCCACAGGTAACCTTTGAGCGTGTTGAAGATCTATCATTAACATGAACAAACTGAATTCGATCAGATAGATAAGATTTAAACCAGTCTAGTGCTGTTCCTTTAATTCCAACAAAATATTCAAGTCTTTCTAAAAGAATATTCTGATCAACTGGATCAAATGCAGCACTGAGATCCAACAGGACGAGCACAGATACAAGTCCATTATCTGAGGCCATGAGAATATCATTAGTGACTTTCACCAGAGCTGTTTCAATGCTATGATGAGCTCTAAAGCCAGACTGAAACTCTTCAAAAAGTTCATTATGGTGGAAGTGATCGCAGACTTGTTTGGCAACTACTTTCTCAAGAATTTTAGATCAGAAAGGAAGATTGGATATAGGTCTATAATTGACCAAGTCATCTGGGTCAAGTAAAGATTTACAGATACCTTAAAAGTCCTCAGGTTCTATTATTAGCAGGTTCTAAAATATCCAGTTTTGATGAGTTCTAACATCTACAGGTCCAACAAATCTGAAGCTATGGTCTGCAGCTGGGCTGTGGCCTCTTCCAGGTTAGGAGTCTGCCTTCACCAGGAAGTCTCTGTTGGACAGAGCAGTAGATGTTACCAGGTCAGGGATGTTTGTGTAGAGTATCTATGTGAAGAAGCTCTGGATTTATTGGTCCACCTACACCCATTCGTCATCTATACTCATGAGACATGGTAAATGGGTGAAGGAACAGCATCCAGTTCTACCAGCTCTGTGTGAAAGAAGTCCAGAGAGAAGCTGAAACAGGAGACTCTGGAAGAGGCTGAGAACCTGGAGGAGGAACTGTATGTTCCTTCAGGTCGGGATCAGGGAGCAGACAGGGTGTTGTTGGAGAACGGATCAGTGAGCGTCTCTACTACCTCTGATCCTGACAGGACAGGTTGGATGTCTTGTAGAAGCACCAGAACAAATCAGGTCAACATTTTCAACTGATGGAGAAAAGGGGAGAAAGAAGGAATCACCACAGACCCCAGCCAACCATTCATGGCGTCCATCTGGGACATTTTTAGTTCTCCTGTTGGAGCTCATCTGATTGAAATGACCTTCTTATCATGGTTCTATAGAACATGCTCCGGTCAGGAGGTAATGCACTGGGACCAGGACAGCTTCTGAAACATGAAGGATGGTGGACACTGGGGATCACCCCAGGCTGCTCTGTGTTCCTCTGAAGGTTCCTTGAATATGTCTGAGCATGCAGACATCTCCTGCTTCTCACTGGACCTCCAAACTCCCACAGGGCTACTTCCTGTGAGGACAATCTCTGAGCTGCAGACCCCAACAAAGCCTCTTCCTGGTTGATCGGTTAGGAGAGCAGGAGCTAAAGTCTGAGATGTCTTGAAGACGAGAAGTTAAGTTCTTCGCAGCCTCTTTAAGGAAGTTTGTGGCTTTGCTTTGTAAGCCACAGCTCTCAGTCTGAACACAGAGCAGGTTTTCCCCGATGTGCAGACTGGGTGTGTACTGAGTTCTGCTAACTGAACTTCCTGTTTGAGCTTTAGATCAGCTGCTAGCAGAGATTAGATGGTGCTTCAACGCTCCAATGAGAACATCTGGTCCGTGTTGGTCCAGATGTGTGACGTCTGCTGAGCTAACACCAGAACGTCCCTCTCTGAGTGACAGTAGGAGCCAGAAGAGGTATCTGGCTTAACGCTACTGAAAACTGACACATGCAATTTGATAAGTGGCATGTTCATTTTCACCAAAGGTCCTACATGGAAACCGAATGTCATCATCGGGTTTAAGTGACGTTATATTTTTGTTGGAGAAAACAGTAAACAGTCATAGGACCAAATCTTGAAGTTGTTCTTTATTTGAAAATGTGACTGATTTTCTAAAATTAATTTCAGTATGGAGTGGGTCACAAGTTATCTGCTAAACATTAGCCTAGCCACAGTCAGTGCACTTCTTCTGTGTCTCTTGTTGCAAACAACAGGTACTAACTGACCTGGATAAAGTTTAAGCTTTTATTGTCATTACTGTCACAAGTACAGAGAAACCAACTCTCTCTCTGCATTTAACCCCTCCCCTTGGGGAGCAGCGGGCTGCCATTGTGCGGCGCCCAGGGAGAAGTTTAAAATCTCTCTGATGTTTGTTATCAGAAGATTTTGTTGTAAAGTAATGACTTTGATTTCTTGTTTAATCAGTCAGCACGGCTGCCCAGGGCAGACCTTGGCAGCCTTTAGTCAGGTGGTTTGGATCAGAGACCATAAACTAAACTAACATCTGTCCGTTGAAACTCTAAACTATTTAAAGCTGATTAAAGGAAGAACATTTTGGCATCTAAATGCAAAGATTCAGATGTTTAAACAGACCTGAGATCAGCAGAGAGCTGCATTAAAAGTAACCCCTGAAGCTTGGCTCTTATTGGAGGAAAATTAGATCTTGGTCCTCCCTCAGTGTATGAACTGGGTTCTGAACCGCGGCTCTGAAAGTCTGAGGTCCGTCTGGACTATCTGATGAAGATTTTGGGTGTGTAAAAGGTTCTGTGTGCTCGGTCAGCGGTGAGAACATGGCGGTCTCTACGGTGATGTAAATATCAGGTCAACCACTCGTTTGTTCTTCTGAGTTAAACTTCCTGCTTGGGGAAAAGATCAGGCTTCCTGTAAGGAACAAAAACAATTCTCCATAAATCCCAGAACCGCAGGAAAAACACTGCAGGTCAGGTAGAGAAAGAAAAAAACAACCTTGAAGCAAGAAAAACCCTGACCTTATAGTTAGTGCTCTGATGATGATGATGATGATGATGATGATGATGATGATTGATGATGATGATTGATGATGATGATGATGATGATGATGATGATGATGATGATGATGATGATGATTGATGATGATGATTGATGATGATGATGATGATGATGATGATGATGATGATGATGATGATGATGATGATGATGATGAAGTGACACATCAAGTCCTCTAGGATGGATGAATTTAGAAAGCAGCAGCTGCAAAGAGAAAGGTAAAAAAGGGAAAGAAGGGAAAAAAGTGGGCAGAAGTTTCCGTCTGGCCGCTGGAGGTTCCTGACCAAGACGAAGCGCGTTAACTGGAACGGATCAGCAGGAGGGAGGCAGATGGCAGCACAGCAGTGGAAACATTCACTGGCTGGAGGAGAACAACACAGCTGGTTTATCATTTCCATCCTCAGTAGGTCTGCTGCAGCAGATAGAGTCACACCAAAGCAGAACAATTTAGCCCTGTGGGGCTAAATCCTGGTTCATCATCAGATGGGTCAGAACCTTAAATAAAGTTCTACTTTCAGCTTAATGGTCCCATTCAGAGCCTGGATGTCTGGTTTATCTCTTCTATCTTCTACCTCCAGTTGTTCTTTTTTCCCTGCGTTTTGATCAGGCAGTGAACGCACCGTTTGTCCCACATTGTAACTGTCATCTAAAACCTCTGAGAAAATGAAGTTATTCCAGTTATTCAGCATCCATTCTTTGTTTGCTGTGTGTCAACTGTCATGGTTGCTAGGCGACAGCGTAGGGGAGGTGAAAGCTGGAAAAGGCTAGACCTGCTGGAATCCACAGCCAGATAGACCGGGTCCTGGGAGGATCCAGTCCAGGTAGACCGGGTCTTGGGAGGATCCAGTCCAGGTAGACTGGGTCCTGGGAGGATCCATTCCAGGTAGACCGGGTCCTGGGAGGATCCAGTCCAGGTAGACTGGGTCTTGGGAGGATCCAGTCCAGGTAGACCGGGTCTTGGGAGGATCCAGTCCAGATAGACCGGGTCCTGGGAGGATCCAGTCCAGGTAGACCGGGTCTTGGGAGGATCCAGTCCAGGTAGACCGGGTCTTGGGAGGATCC